AAGCACCCTGAATAGATTCTAACAGGAAATCCTGGAGAGGTTCGAAAAACAACACGAGAATTAATCAGCGCTCTGCCTTCAGAATGTCGTGGCGGAAAAAGAACAGTTGTCTGTTTCTATGAGAACTGTTTGACTAATTACCACGCCACCTATTACTCGGCCACTAAATGCGCCTTGGATGTTTTTGCCTGAAGTCACGAAAATTTGCATTTGCTCGTAAATTCGACGATTTGTATGTTGCTATTACCGGTAGCTTTTTATCCGCTTTAGCTTAAATGAAACGGGATGCAGCTGTATAAATAGGGCTAAAGTTTTATTAGCTTTCATTGGAGATCGTATCGTTATTCGTATATAGCATTTGCTTGTGGATCTTAAACATCTTTAATAGTTGGACCTCCAACTGTATTGTTGACACGAAATTGTCCAAGAGCGAGTGAGTGATTTCGCAAAGCAGTTGTGGTCAAATGGCTTCTGCCGATTGTTGCTGTGCTATGTGGCAGACCCCAATTCAGGGCGCGTTGAGACCGGCTATGTGGGTTCCTGGAATTAGGAATCTACATAGCAGAAACGAAACGTGAGTATGATAATTCGGCTTTACTTTTGTAAAATTGTTGATTGAGTTGCTTCTTTCTTTAACTTCGGTAGTTCTCTGTATAAATTCGATTATCTAGCTTGAAAACTAGGACACCAGACAGAATCTAGACATAGCATTAGCCCATGGTTATCACTTTATTAATGATGTATTTTGGGTTAACTTTTGTAGGCACGTACTTTTACAATTAAATAGTTTATGTTTTCAATACATTGCATTAAGCTTAATTAAAAAGTAACCTGTTTGGTACTGTGACTGTGAGTTCCAGCTTTGTCATTGCATTGTCAGTTAGTAATCAGGTCCTGTAAACTTTTTGCCTTCCAAACAATGATTAAAATAAATCGTCAAAAAATTAATGTTCAGTTTTGTAAATATGTTTCCCTATTGTTACATATAACAAAGCAAAATGTAACAACACTTAACCAAAATATAATTTATAAGCTTTTCATCAGTTTTAAGGAGAAAATCGTTTCGATTAATTCATATTAGAAGTGTAGAATTTTCTTTCACAGAGCTGACAAGTTGCAGTTCATCATTTTAATTTCTAAAACTTTATTTTGTTTTTAATTAAGTTTTATCTCATTTTTTCTTTCTAAGACATGTCTGACAGGAAAATTTGAACTGTTAAGTAAACATTGAATTATTAATGGTTGTAATAATATATATATATAATTTATAAGCAGATCTCATCTCAGTCAAATTTTGTGGAGAAATCAAGAATATAGGCCCTACAAATATATTTAAGTTAAACGCTGAATCAATTAGTGGGGTCATTTTCACGAGTTATTAATGATCATCATGATCCACAGACAATCCTGAGATTGACAAAAAGTAATAGTAACTTAATTGATGGTAACAGTAGATGGGTGTTTGTTTGACATGTGATATTCCTACTATCTTTTGTAACCCTGAAAAATTTGTGGGATATCATTACATTGATGAACTAATATTATTATGAATTATTGTCACATGACAATAATACAAGTGAATATATGAAAGATCATATATTTTAACCGCAGAAAAAGTCTTTATATCTTTCTCTGCAGTTCAAATATACAATCTTTCATATATTCACTTGTATTCTTCATCATCTATGGGTATATTGCAAACTCACAAAATGATCAGCTCCGAGATGGCTTGATAGTTCAGTTGGTAGAGCACTGCACCGGTATCGCAGAGGTCATGGGTTCGAATCCCGTTCAGGCCTGAATATTTTCAGTCTTTAATTTCACAACTGCCTAAGTTGTGTGCATAACTGCGATGATCAATCATGTCTTCACGTGACAATAATGTTGTCTGGTTTCTTATGCATGTTCTCTTCATTAAAAGTTGGGTCATACCAGAAGCAACTCCTGAGGTGTGTTTGGAGCATGTCATATCAGCTGTAGCAATACTTAGCGAAAAGGAAAAAATGCACATCAATAAGGTACGTTCATGTACATGATGATGATGGTGTTTACGATGATTACGCATTCTAAAATATGCGTCTTGCAGAATTTTAGTCAAATTTCTTGGGTCACCTCATCTTGAATTTTCTTGCCGCATTGTCGATCTCGTTCCGAAGGCTGAGATTATATCATTGAGTCTCAGGCTCAGAGGAAATATAATTATGTAAGTCTCACCATCTTGCAAAGTTTGAGATTTACCATGAAGTGATTGGCTATCCCTAATATTGCGGTTAGGTTGAATTGATGAGTTAAAAATCAAAATCATGCTAATGA